GGTTGACTGCACAGTAGCTTCTTCACTATTAAACTCCAGCTTCTTCGCTCTTGGAGATTATTGACTCCCAAGCCCTGTAAGCATGTAGGAGCTTGCTCTTCAGCTGGTTCTTCCTTTAAGTCAACTGCATCACCCCTTGTTCTCTAATGGCTCTTTTGCCTTGGAGGCAGTTGATGAAGCAACTGCAATTTGCTTAATTCTTTTGCAAGAGCTGCAGGATCACTTTGTGTTTTATATATATATATATTAAACACTCAGATTTGAATTTAGATAAAATAGGTAGCCTTCCCAGCTAAATGACAATTGCAGCATTACAAGCAACATGGGCGTGTCCAGATGGGGCCCTAGCAATCCAACTGTTCCTATCAAACTGATCCTCCATTTCCACCTTAAATCCTGTGTCATGGTTGCATCAAAACCCCTTTCATTCTCAGAATACTTACCTTGCTTTGATGGCAGTTTCTGTCCCATTGTCCCTAAGTCTGAGACAGCAGGGTGGCTTAGGAAGGCCTGAGAAAAGCCACTAGCAGACTCCGTCTATCCTTTAGCAGAGAAACGAAAACAGCCAGAGGGTGGAGGAATCACGCCACTAATTTCTAGCACATAGCGTCTTAAGTAAGGTAACACCTTCAAGAGGACTAACCAAGAAGTTACAGAGTGCCTCAGTAAACATTGTAAAGGTCTTCTTCAGCTACAAATTATATTAAACAGGAACAATACGGAAATGGGTGTTGCGGGATTGAGGAGAGAAAACCTCCAGTAAGAGCCATTTTATTTGAAAATGTAGAATTAAATTTGCTTTGCATCAGATTCGTGAGATAGATACAGGTTTTTGGTGGGAAGAAGAATCCCATGTGTTATTAGTTAATGGACCTCTTATGGTTTAAACCCTAGTGCTAATCAATTTACTCTTTATTTATTACTTCTGTAGGAAAAGAAATCCTGTAAAATACTTCTGAGATTGAACAAGGGCGTTTTGACTGTTTTCAGTTCTATTTAGAACACTAAATACAGAATGGAAACATTATGGTTTTCAAGTCCAGAGCTCACAGCTAACTGACAGCCAATCAGTCCTGGTTCTTTTTGACTATTCATTGAGGATGAAAACTTGTCAGCCAATCAGTGTTTGCTAATGTTGCCCGTTTGGATCCATATCAAAACATGCTTCTTCCCCTACCTCTTCCCCCCAAAAATATTTCAATATTAATCTCTTCACCATAATGCCAAATCTCTATTGCTTTTCAGAATCTCAATACTATGTGCTGGCAATTCAACATTTCCTTAAACAGGTCAGCAGGCCAGGGATTAGTGTGTCTGTGGCGTCCCTGTCATAGTTTTCATGACTATAGCTTTTTTAATGTGCACAGTCACATTTGTTCTTAACTATTTTAATTATACGTTTCAATACTATACTATAAACCACCCGAGGGTCTATTGGAGTGGGCAGTCGTAATAAATTGAAATCAATAAATAAAGCACATTGGTAAAAGTTGGAAAATAGGGCAAACCAAGAACCCCCTCCATCAAGAACATAGCTTCACACACAAAACAGTAACCTGTTGTTGCTTCTGAAGCCTCATTCATTGTCTTGACACAACATTCCCCATCCATTAGTATAGAGATGTATCAGAACTGCTCACAGCTGCAGCTTCTTGGGTCTGTTTTGGAATCAAGGAATCTATCTTGCTCCACAATGGATGGAGTACTTTCATCGGAGAAGTCCCTTGCAACCAGTAAATATCAGAACTATATTATATCCACAGTAGAAATCACGAACATGAAATATTGTTGGCATAATATTCAAATTATGCTTCTTAAGGAAGCAAACATTTGCTTCTCACGTTCGATTTCAGGTCACGTGACTTCTGTACGAGAAACAGGAGCTGTTATCGCTTTGCCATTTGCTTCCAGGAGTAAAACATTTTATGCAGTCCTGGATTACATAGATTAGTGAAAGATAAATCTGTAAATGGTTACAAGTTCTAATGTCCATACATTATCTCCAAGTTAAGAAGCTGTAGGCAGGCCATGCTGGAAAACAATTGCAAAAAGAGGACATTGCCTTTATCTAGAAATTATGTGAAATAGAATTCCGTATTACAGCTTTACTGGTCAAATTGCAACTTCCAGAACTCCCAAGAAGCATGAGAGGACAGCAAGTTTGAGGAAAACAGTTATCCTAAATATATTTTGGTGTGATCCTTCTGGCTCTGTTTAAATTTTCATGAACAGCCAAAGATGCAGAATATAGTCAGAATAAAAACATAACCTCAGTAAAAAAAAAAATCTATAATATATCTGAGTCTTGTTATGGATGGCTAGCATGTCAAACTCAGAAAGTATAATTCTCTGTAGAAGTTGGAAGAGTAGCTCTTGTGTCTGTAGTATCAGACCTGGGTTGGAAGGAAGATACCACTTGTTAGTGCTTCTGTTCCATTTACTTTTGACTTAGAAACACATGTGGACACACGCATATATGTTCATGCTGCCACCAAGGTATAAATTCTTCACAGCAAGTAGCAGCAAAGATTTCCTGTACAGGTTAAGAGGCATAAAACTTATTCAGTTCTTGTTCCTTAGGGCTGTAACAAAATATACTGCAAGCAAGGATGCACCTTTAGATTCCAACACAGAGAAATCAAAAGGGAGGGGCTAATCATCAACAAATATGTTTTGGAACAATAAGAAACAATGAGCATCGAGAGTTTCATCACATAAAATTGATGGTTGCAGAAAGGAGATAAGTTCTTATTTACCAGGTTGGTTATTAGCAAGGGGGCATCTCCGAGGAGTTTATTATTCTTGGTTCAAACAATGGCCAGTTGAATCTGATTTTATTCATGCTTTAAGCAAAACATTATCAAGTTAGTTTATAGATAATTAAATTAGAATAACATGCGGATGATGATAGTAGTAGTAGCAGTGATGGTGGTGGTAATGGATGTGGATGTGGCAGTGCCTGGAGACAGCAGAAGAGAAGAGAAAGAACTGGAGAAGATAATAAAATACAAAGACATAGAAATAGAACGACTATGGCAAAAGCAAGCAAGAGTAGTACCAATAGTAATAGGTGCCTTAGGGTGCTAATCCCAAAACAATTGGAGCACCCCTTGAACACCACAGGCATTGACAAATTCGCCATCAGTCAATTGCAGAAGGTGGTTTTACTTGGAACAGCTTCCGTCCTGTGACGATCTCTGTAACATCATCAAACATCCAGATTTGCCAATCCCAGGTCCTTGATAAGGACTTGATGGGTAGACAAAAATGCCAAACCCCAGTCTGAACGTCTGGCTGACTGTGCGATGATCAATAACAATATAACACCATCAGTCAATTGCAACAGACAACCTTACTCAGAACAGTTTGCATCCTGCCACAATATCTTCAACACTATCAGGGAGCAACATCTGCCTGGATACCTGGTCTGACCATTTGTCTGACTGTGCAGTGAACAATAATTCGTTAAATTTGTATGCCACCCGATTCCCAATAACTATGAACGCGATGTAGCATTGGAAGTTAAAATCCACCCCTCTCCTAGGAAAATGAAATATTTTAGGATATACTAAAAAGGCAGAATATTTCCCCGAAAAAATAATAGTAGAAACTCAGAGAGGCAGAAACTCAGCCCCTCCCCCACCTTTGCTAATGGACCATTACTCTGGCCTAGGCCAGTCTATTTTACATAACAAAGATCTCCAGGGAAAGCTATAGCAATTGCTCAAAGCCCTTTTTATTACATCATCATCCAGCAAGGCTCAACCAAGCCTGAAACTCAGCACAACCTACAGAGTTGCCCCTGCATGGCCCCATGGGAGTCTGACAACCAATCAAGAATACAAGCTCAAATTCAAATCCCAACAGAGGGGCATGAAACCCAGGCACTCTCAGCATCTCTTCCCTTTTTTTGCCCAGGAGCTCCAAGCCATGTGGTCCTGTCCACCATTAAACCATCTTTCCAAACAGCCTCCATGTTTCCAGTGTCTTTTTCCCCACGTGGAACTGAACCCAGGAGGATAATTCTTCCAACAGTAGATATGGAGTATTGTAAAAAATCCCTAGATGCCTATGCAGTATACAGGTATCCTTGGAAAATAATCAGACAAGAATGCTGAGAAATCTTTTTCATATTATCTTCATTCATTTCTCACAGGGAAAATATATCTGGTCGTTTGGAGTCAATAGCAACTTAGCGGCACATAATGTCTCATCCGTAGAACCCCACATCATCTCACATCCTGAAAGCAGAGTGAACAACAACGAAAGTTAAAGGGCCAACATTTAAATAATCCAGTGGGAATTAGTTGGCTTTCCTCTTCATAATTCTGTTGGGTCTGATGTAACCAAGGCCTAGGCCCAAATGTGAACATGTTATAGTGTCAGACCAGAAAAACTGGCATGCACAGGCCAAGGATACCTATGTTGAAACATACTACACACCTATCTAAGTGAAAATGCAATTAATAGCCACAAATCAACAAAGCCTTCTTGGTTGTAACAGAGAGCATTCCAGAATATTTTGCCCTGTTAATAAGCACGCGTGATTCTTCTGGTTATCCTTGGCAGGAAAGTGAAGGTACTTTGCCATCAGAAAATGTGTGTTCATGTAGGGTTTGTGTGGTTTTTTTCCTTCTGTGCATTCAGTATCCTAGAAACACATCTGGGACAGATACTACCTTTCAAAAAAAAAAAAAACCCAGTGATTTGAAAACTTCAAAATCGTCAGTATAGGAGCACAAAGATTCTGATTTTAGAGATAAAAGTTGTGGTTAGAAGACGCCAAAATGTCATCTCAGTAATATCTCCCTATAGTTGGTTTGCCTCCTTTCCAGTGTACGTTTCTTTTTAACCAAGCTCCATACATGGAAAAAAAGAAAATTACCAGCAAATAAACAGCACGTGGGAAAGAGTCACTTAATTTCCCATTGAGTAACCTGCCTCACGGGCCATATCACTTCTAAGAGCAAGGTTTTTAGATCTTTCTCTTTCCTTTCCAGGTTCCTGGAACGTAAACAACTTTGTGGATCGGTTTCATCTCGGAACACCCGTGGCTTCAACCCAGTTTGTCACTAAGGATTACCACGACTAGCAATGCCAGTAGAAGCACCAATAGGATAACCACCGTTGCGCTCAATGATTTAGCTTGATTTCTTCCCTATGGAGCAGAGGAACGCTCCAAATAAAAATGAAATCTTTCTCTTCGTTCAACAAGCACGGGCTGGATTTTTGCATGATCAATAAGCTTTATATGATTTTATTTTAGGATTCATTGTTTTGTCAGCTGGCATCGGTACAATGACATAGTTGTCCCTAGCATTCCAACCACATCTATCACAGAAAATGTAACACATTCACTGCAGAACTTGTGTGGCCTTAAAGTTAAATATGTCTATATTATATTATATTATATTATATTATATTATATTATATTATATTATATTATATTATATTATATTATATATTATATTAGCTTGAAAGCAAAGTGTCAATATAGCCACCAACCTATAATCATTCCTTAATCACTGAAACATGGCCCCTTACCAGCTCAGATTTCTGCCAAATGTGTCTTCTGTTAAAATTCTATCCAACTATGATATATGTGTGTGTGTGTGTGTGTGTGTGTTTTCTTAATCTATATGTATGGTACTCAGCTTTGTTTGGGTATTTTCTCACGTCATTATAGTTATGCTTTTAAAGTTGTAGCAACGTTTCAGACTTGATGGCAGATGAGATTCTGCCGAAACTGCCAAAACGTTGCTACAACTTTAAAAGCACAACTACAATGATGTGGGAAAATACCCGAACAAAGCTGAATGCCATACATGTAAGTACCCGCGAAAACTTATACACACACACACACACACACACACACAAACAATATAATATAATATAATATAATATAATATAATATAATATAATATAATATAATATAATATAATATAATATAATACAATATAATATTCTCCCCAAGGACTTTTTTTAACTACTGAAAGGTCCGTAGCCTACTCATGACCAACATAGGTTCCAGCCTTTTGTTTTAGATATTTAATTGACATCAAATTACCTTATTATACTCTTTTATGACACTTCCATTCATGATTTCCCATCCCAGGCTACATATTCTTTGCAAGTCCACTTCCATGTTTCACCCTTGAACTAATAGCTGTCATTTATTGTAGCATTCAATTAAAAATAGCATTTCACCATGGCTTTCTCAAGCTTTTTTATTGCACAGTTGGGAAATGGAATCACACTCAAATTGGACATAAGCTTCATATTATATTGTAATACGGTATTTTTTTCTGGTATCAATATTTTTTTTTCCTTTGAGGACTGTCCCCTGTATATGATTCCGCAGACCCTTCAGGATAGCATGCAACACAAATGGATAAATCAACAACAGGCAACTGCACAGTTGGAAATGTGCAGATTAGGAACAATTTAAAAATAGAACATAGAACAATAGGATCGTAGAAGTCTTCTAATCTAACCCCACTGCTCAAGCAGGAAAACCTATACCAGACAAATGGTTGTCCAATCTCTTCTTAAAGATCTCCAGTGGTGGCACATCCAGAACTTTTGGAGGTAAGCCTTTCCACTGATGAATTGTTCTCTCTGTTAGGAAATTTCTCCTTAATACTAGGCTGCACCTCTCTTTAACAAAGCTCCACCCGTTACTTTTTGTCTGGGCCTCAGTGGCTTTGGAGAGTAGGTTGACCCCCTCTTCTCCGTGATCCCCTTCAAGTATTAGAAGACAGCTATCATGCCTCCCCTAAGCCTTCTCTTCATTAGACTAGACCGGAGATGGCATTCAACAGGTTCTGACCAGTTCTGGAGAACCGGTAGCGGAAATTTTGAGTTGTTCGGAGAACCGGCCAATCCCACCTCTGACTGGCCCTGCCAACCCCATCTATTCTCCACCTCCCGGCTGGGTCTCCTTTGGTTGCCCTGCACAGGAGAACGGAGCTGGAAAGCAGGTTAGTGGGGTGGGGAGGGAAGGGGGATTTTACAGTATCCTTCCCCTGCCACACCCACTGAGCCACGCCCACAGAACCGGGAGTAAAAAAAAAATTGAATCCCACCAGTGGACTAGGCATACCTAGTTCCCTCAAACATTTAATACTCTCATTTACACTGTTACAGTGCTCAGTTGAAATAAATTATTCTATATAATTTCCAACTTGAAATGATCAAATTACTGTATTTTGATTACAGAAGCGCCCAAAATTCACTTTATTTTTCACTTACTGGTCAATGACATTGTCACAGTTGAAGACCCCTCCCCCTTGGGCAAAAACGCTTTGTGCCTATACCACTAGATATTTCACCATCCCACCTCCTCAGCTCTTTTACCCCTGTGACACACACATGGGTATACCTCTCTTTCATTCTTATTCTCCCAACCCGATGAAATTAGCACATTTGCTTTCCTTTCAAAGGAATTGTGCATCTGCAAAGCAGCAGTTTCTTTCTCCAGAATGTCACTAAGGGAGGAAGGAGGGCTAACTGTGATTTCTGCCTTTTTATGTCAATGTAAATAAGCAGCTGTTGTATGTGTGGACCTACCTCATGATTCCTTCTCAAACAACCCATTTGTATTCAGATACCTCTTAGAACAGTGATGGCTAACCTTTTCAGCTTGGCGTGTCGAAAATCGGGAAAAAGTGTAGCCTTCCTCGGGTTGTGTGTCACTTCAAGAAATATCAATAATTTGGTTTATGACGGACTGGGCTGGGGTGATCACACAGGGCTGTGAAACTCGTCTCCCTGGTCTCGGGGCTGCAGGTGCAGGATGTGGGGATCGGAAGGCCACCTTACAGGGCTGTGAAACCCCTGGATCTCCTTTCCTCCTGTAGCGTTCCTGAGGTAATGAAACGGACAAACCTCAGTTTATGGTGGTTAAAACTGGTTCTCTGCTGCAAAGATCTCGCGGCAGCGGTGACACCACGCGTCCATGCAACAAGCAGGGAGCAGGGATTGGAGCAGAGCACAGGCAGCCTCTAAATGTGCAGGTTTTCCCCACACCAACAAGCGTGTCGGTCAAAGTGCCTCGGCGTGTCACGAGTGACACGCATGTCATAGGTTAGCCATCACTGTCTTAGAATGTTTCCACTTGGGAGAGATAATTTCCAGTCTGGAATGATCTTGGTTTAGTTAATGAGAACAACTGATGCCAGTTATCCTTAAGTTCTAGTGAAATCTGTCTTATCTAGTGAAATCTGTCTTATCACCAATATTTCAAGGTGCATTATGAGAAAAAGGAACAAAGATGTAAACCAGTTTCATTCTTGACCCATTCTATTCATAAATCACATGAGTGTCTATCACGGTTCCGTTTCTACTGTGAGGTAAGGCTAGCTTCCTAAGAGCCAATTATATTCTTCTCCGTGAGGCAGAAGAGAGAGAAAAAAAGTTTGAAATAGAGAGGAAGCTTGTGTTAGGGGTGTAACTTACCACAAGCAAAGAGGAAGAAGGTCCAAAAACACATAACTCTACTTTAACTGTGTGAGTTAAAATTAGAAGCAAGAGGAAATGACAATTTAGCATGTCATGGAAGTCTGCTAAAGTGGGTTTACTCCTTTTTTTATATTTATCATTTGCCCAGGGTGTAATTGGTGTTTCAGATTAAGGCCAAGGAGCCAGTAGAAATGAAAGGTCACACTTTGTTGACATCCCACCATCAGATTGTAGTCATCCTTTCCTCTCGGTCTTTAATTCCTTGTGGTGAGCATGTTTACTTTTGGGAGAAAAAGAGCAGGGAGTCGGATGTTTACCTCTCTAGGAAATAGTCGCCATAGTTTTCCCCGCTCCTTTTTCTTTTTCTTTTAATTGAAATATAAGAGGGGGAAATGGTAAGGAAACCACACTGGTGTTTATTATATAGCTAGGCCTGAACCTATCAGTTGAGTTCAAATTGAATGTCTAGTTGGGTGGCAGCACTGGCAGGGTTTAATGTAGTAATACTAGAATTCTCAAATTGTATTCGGAGTTTTGACTCACATTTTGGTATGGCCTCACCCAGGAAGACCAGAAGTGGGAACGGGAGAGGGCAGTGCTGTGGTATCTGAAGTCCACCAGAAGGCATCAAGCAATTAAAGTATTCCTTGAGAAAATGTAGAGAAGAACGAAATGTCCATGCCAAGTTCAGATTTGGCAAGTGTCATTAATCTTCAAAGAACAAATCTTGGGTTTTCATCACATACCATGTTTGCAAAAGACAGTATCAGACTCTTTCGTTAATGTGTAATTCCGTTTGTGGCTTTTTTGCAGTTTTGGGGTTGCAACTTTTACGGTTCTTGGCTTGGGAGAAATCTTATTTAATTCATTTAGGCTTACTCTTAGGTAAACCTCTGGTGTGTTGTCATCAGCAAGTCTTCATTTTCTCTTTTCCTGAGATTTTTATCTTCATTTCAGCTGTGTTTGTAATCCTGTTAGCTGCCTGGAGTTCCCATTTGCACACGCGGCAAGCATAAGAATTCCTTCAATATTATCCACAAATAAATGAGTTTTTATGCATTTATTGTACAGTGTTTGCCAGCCACCCCAATCTGCAGGTATTAAGTGGGGGTGTGTAGCAGAGTAAACATAAACAGGCATCCAATTCATAACTACTCCAACATGGTTGCTGACAAACAACAAACAAGGATTGTTCTGATGGTTTACAAAATACTAGGAGGTGTTGAGAGGGATCTGCATTGTACTTTTGTGGGCAATGAACAGAAAGAGCATCATAATAACCTGCTACCTGATCCAGCTACCCCTAACCTCATCTGAAGGATTCTTAGAAGGCCTTTGCATGATGGTACTAGACAAACATACACTCCTGCTGTCTGATGTCGCCCACACTGCTATATTGTATAGATGTCAGGCGCGAAAGACCATGATCACACCTGAAGTCCAGTTGGAGTGATTTATTACTACCCATGCCTATACACAGGAATATTCTGAACTAGTAGTATTATTTTGGAACTATATAAGGGTCAATGGTATTCAAGAGGTTAGACATAGTGTATTTGTAGCTACGTAGGGATTCTAGGTTGATTCCTCCTTTCACTCTGCCCCCCAGGTTCTGCCACTCGGTCTCCTACAATGCAGCTTTGTACTTTCCATGACCATCACCAGCATTTGATCTGAACGCCTACTGGTGCAGTGAATTTAATAATGGGGTTGGCTTCCAATGCAGTCTAGCTAGCATATTCTGGACCTTCTGTACAGTGGTGGGATTCAAAAAAAATTACTACCAGTTCTGTGGGCATGGCTTGGTGGGCATGGCAGGGGAAGGATACTGTAAAATCCCCATTCCCTCCCCACCCCACTAACCTGCTTTCCAGCTCTATTCTCCTGTGCAGGGCAACAAAAGAAGACCCAGTCAATCAGCTGGGACTCAGGAGGCAGA